ACTGCAGCTGTGGGTGTGGGAGGATCAGCACTCTTTCTGGGTCATGAGGTAGTTGGATAGGTGTTGGGGCACTGAGGCCTTCTTCTATCTGAGATCCTGGGGTACCAAGAGGTCCTTGATGTAGGGACCAGCCGCGTTAGCTGTTGTCTTTCCTGATGATTAGTTGTTGTCTTTCCTGATGATTAGTGCCACTGGTTAAATGGTCTCACAGGATTCCAAGAGGGGAGGGGTGGGAAGTGACACAACCCAGGGACTCACACCTGGCGCTGTGTACCTGTACCACATCCCCATCTGTCCACTTGTCACTATCCAGATCTCTCAACTGCCCCAGGAGTCTCTGGGTGGCCTGGTCTCCAAGCTCTTCCTCCTTTTCTGCCAGAGGAAGTGGGTGGGCTTTGTGGGTGGGGGAGAGGAGAAGGGTTCGGAAGAGTTTCTCTGTTCTCTTCCCCTGTCATTCCATCTTTCCTCTGTATCTAGATGAATCACCAACAAGGCCAAGTTTGTCTAAGGTATCTGGGTCCCTCCAGGAATTCACGGTCATTTCTCATTATCAGTTGTTTTTTTGGGAGATTTGATCCTCGCACCCTTTGCCACCGTGTTGATGACATCCCAGTTTACTAACATTTTAATTATTGTTTGCACCTGTATTTATCTGGTTTTGGTATCAGGATATTGTTGACCTCTTTGATTGGAAAAAAAAAACAAAACTTAAAAATTAAACCAGGGCCCTCCCTGGTGGTGCAACGGGTTAAAGCACAGCACCTCTGGCACTTCAGTGCGGGTTCCATCCTAGGCCAGGGAGGTGGCCCACATGGCACCTCTGACCTCTCCTGTCTCCTTGCTGCTCCCCTCAGCAGTGCATTTCACTGATCTGTGTTTTCTGCACCCCACTCTGTCTCTGGTGAACCCTGCACTTCTGACATGTACCCCAGTTCTGTATGCATAAATAAATAAATCTTTTTAAAAAATTAAATCATATATACAGATAGTAAAAATTTAAAAGTACATAAATAAATAAATTTTATAATTTATAAATTATAAATTTACAAATAGAATGTCATACAAAATAAATATAAAATAAATTCCTTTTTTGCTCACTTCCTGAATCCCAGTTTCACTGACTAAAGTTAACCTTGTTCATTGTTTCCAGAAGATTGTCAGAAATTTTAAAAAAGCCCTTAGGCCTATTTAGAAAGCATTTCTTTTTATTTACACTATATGCATTGTTTTGAACTTTCTTTTTTCTTTTTGCTTCATCATATTTCTTGGAAGTATTCAGATCAACACATATGGTTCTACCTCACCAAGAAATAACTGTTTAAAATACTACCACATGAATATGTTCATATTTTATTTAACACATTAATAAAAATTTATTTTGTTTTCTGGTTTTTGCTTTAAAAACAATGCTACAGTGACCTAGGCCAATTAAAATTTTTCAGGTCTTTTAACTGATAGTGCTGCTTTACACAAAGGATTTACATAAAACTTAAATTTGTATAGGTTTTTAAAGCAGTCACTCATTTATTTATGTTCCCTTTTACTAATGCGCACTCAAGCTCATCACCTATTTTTTTCAAGACATCTTATTACCAAGCATATTATCTATATTAAAAATCACATTTCACTGTGAAACTGTATGACATTCTATTTGTAAATGGACAAACTGAGTTGCAGTTGATACTTGAAAAGCACCATTTGGTTTAAGTGTTTAAAGACACAGATAAGCATCCGCATTTCTCCTGTCTTCTGCGTCCAAATTAACTGAAATAACTGTCTGGAGTCTTGTGAAGTTGTAGATCTTTTTTGACATTAGCTGGATTCCTGTAAGTAATTGCCTGTGTTAGCTGAGCACACACTGTGTTTGTTGGCATTGTTCCAAGCACTTTTCATTGATTCAATCATTTAACCTTCATAACAATTTGTAGAGGCAGACTAATGTATTCAGTTATATGACTGGTAAGTGGCTGTATTTTAATCACTAAGCTATACTGACCAATGGGTACTTTACTTAATGGAAGACTTCATGAACTAGAAACAAGACTTTGCCAAATGCCAGATGTTGGCAGCATTCTACTGTATGGGAAACAAAGAAAAATTTTATAGTGGAATCACACAATGGAAGCACGTTGGTTCCTTGAGGGAAAGTATCCATGAGAATATTATTTAGTAGTAGATAACACTTCAATGATAGTTTGTTTCTACAACAGAGCCTATCATAACTGAAGGTGTTAATCAGAGAAGTCTTCCTGGAAGCATTGACTATTGCCTTGAGATTAAAAGGATGGGAAGACTGGGAGGGCATCCTAAAAAAGAAAAAATATTTTTAATACTTAAAGTTATGAAAAAGCATGGGTGACACATTGAGAATAATTGTCCAGTCTGTCTCAAGTGAAGCAAACAGAGACTAAGGTGGGAAGAAAAGAGAGAGAGAAAATAAGAAGGGCCAACTTGTGTGGGGTCTAACAAGGATCTATCAAATCATGTTAGATGGAGTTTGGAAGATCAGGATCTGATCTGTATTTTAGAAAGGACATTCTAACCACTGAGTATAGTATGTACTGAAGGTCCAAATGGGAATTTAGTAAAGAACAGTTAATAGGGTTTTGGTTGCAGGAGAGGAGAGGGGTTGGAATGAATGATGAATGAAAAAGTGGTTAAAGACTCTTAAAGGCTTTTGTGAGATTTGTGTAATGTAGAAGTAGAACCTGACAATTGATTAAATCAGTGTTTCTCAACCAGGCTGATTTTGATTTCCAGGGGACTATTTGGCAGTGTCTGGAGACATTTTGTGCAGGCCAGGGATGCCAGTATACATCCTAAAATGCACAGGACAGCCCCCATGCAAAGAATTAGTTGACCCTTTATGTCAAAAATACTTCAGTTGAGGAACTGGGTGAAGGATAACTTAACACTTTTTTTTTTTAGATTTATTTTATTTGTACATACAGAACTGGGGTGCAGGTCAGAGGCTCAGGGGCGGTGAGAGGCTTCACCAGAGACAGAGTGGGAGCAGAACAGGCAGATGGACGAAGTA